CCTAACCCCTCCATATGGCAGGTGTCCCTGCTATCCCCTCCTAACCCCTCCATATGGCAGGTGTCCCCCATAACCCCTCCATATGGCAGGTGTCCCCCCTAACCCCTCCATATGGCAGGTGTCCCTGCTGAGCGACAGCGTAGGGAAGCTGAGGGCGTCCGAGGAGCGGCTGGAGGAGGGGCGCGAGGACCTCATGGAGCAAGTGCGCCGTCTGGAGCGCACCAGGACGGAGCTGGAGACGCAGCTCGCCGTGGCGCAGCGCCAGGAGGCTGAGATGCGCCATACGCTCAATAAGGTGCGCCATGCGCCTGATATAATAATAAGGTATAATATTTATGTATAATAATATAATAAAGTAATATATTTTTTATATAATTTTATAATATAGAATAATATGAACTCGCCTATTATGCGCCATACGCTCAATAAGGTGCGCCATGCGCCTAATATCATAATAATTCTATAATATAACATAAATATCTAATAAAATATGTGTATTAATATAATATATATTTGATATAATTTAGTAATTTATAATAATATGCACTCGCATATTATGCGCCATACGCTCAACAAAGTGTGCCGTGCACCTAATATAATAACAAAAAAAATAATATAATATTTATAATATAACTTAAAACTATAGAATAATATGCACTTGCCTCTTATGCTCCTCACGTAATCGATGGGCCAGCTTGCATTAATATTCAATCAGTTCTTAATTATTGGAAAGTGCATGTTTGTTTCCTCCCTTTTTTATATACTGAAACAAAAAGGGTTCCTAATTATTGTATGCATTGAAATTTGGACTGAAAATATCATTAGTTCCCTTGGTAAACTTATGCTTTAACGTCGATAACGAATACCATCCAAAATCTGGTACCGTCAACTGGGGTGACTTTGACCAACGTTTATTATTTTGTTTTGCTGTTTTTTGTTTGCTGTAGGGGTGGCCGAAGTCACCCCCGGTGGCCGAAGTCACCCCCGGTGGCCAAAGTCACCCCCGGTGGCCGAAGTCACCCCCGGTGGCCGAAGTCACCCCAGTTGACTTTAATATCTTGAGCTCTGACGTAGAGCTCAGCTCCGGAATGTTGCAGGCAACCGCGATGCTGCAGTAACCCAAACAAATACGTTGGAGGCTAACGAGTTTTCATACTCTTTGATTGTTGCCCAGAAATCCAGCCGGTCCATCTGTCTTGTACGGCCAAACTCTCTCCAACACGTCCGGTTTATTGTGATTACTTACCAGTGCGTCGGTCTAAATTACTAGTGCGTCGGTCTAACACATTCATCACCATAGCACCACCACCACAACACATGGCGACGTCCTCACTCCTTGCCGTCCACCACCTCACTGCCCGGCCGTCCGGCCTACCGCCTTATATATCGGCACCCCGCAGGTTCCGCGATCCTCACTATCTTTACCATCAACGTAAACGTGAAGCTTTACTCCATAAACTAAAGCTCCTCTTAGCTGATCTAATCCCGTTACCTCCCCCAGGTTGAGGAATACAACCTTTAAAACGTGAAGCTTTACACGATCAACTAAAGCGTCTATTAACTGATCAAATCCCCTTCCCTCCCCCTGGTTGAGGAATACAACCTTTAAAACGTAAAGGTTGAGGAATACAACCTTTAAAACGTAAAGTTTTTCACGATCAACTAAAGCATCTCGTATCTTATCTAACCCCCTCTCCTCCCCCAGGTTGAGGAATACAACCTTTAAAACGTGAAGCTTTACACGATCAACTAAAGCCTCCTCTTATCTAATCTAATCCCCCCTCCTCCCCCAGGTTGAGGAGTACAACCTCTCGCTAGGTCAGGACAAGGCTGCACTGCAGCAGAAGGCGGCGCTGCTGGAGGCGGAGCGCGCCACGGCGGCCACGGAGCGCGCTGAGCTGCGCGCGGAGGTCGAGCGCCTACAGGACCTCCTGGCCGCCGCGGACGAGGACAAGGCCGCCCTGGAGGCCAGCCTCGTGAGGGCGGGCGAGAGGACAAACCTTGTGGCCATTGAGAAGGAGAAGGTCAGTGATGGCCGTAGGGTATAAGAAGGTAATGGTTAGGATACGTAGAGTTGAATATATAACATACAGAATACGATGGCCGTAAGGTATTAAAAGGTGTGCTTAGGATGCCTAGAGTTGAGAATATAACATACAGAATATGAATATATTTAATATAAAAATGACAGTAATATTGAAAATAATAAAAGATTAAAGTGGGTTAAAATTGCACCGTTATCTTTTCGTTTGAGTCGGCATAAGTCAGAAATGAGCTATTTTTAGCGCATTTTTTCATTTATGGAAAAAATGCAGTATTGTGCTCGCCATGTCCGTCTGGCTGTCCGTCTGGCTGTCCGTCCGTCCGTCTGTATGTCCGTCTGTCTGTCCGTCTGTCCGTCCGTAACTTCACGTTTTCGTCGACGAGAAAATGCGCTCTCTGTCACTCACTGCAGTGAGTACTGAGTTATATTTTTTTTATTCGTTCGAGTCGGCGTAACTCAGAAATGAGCGTTTTTTTATTTCTATATTATGGAAAATAAGCGCGTTTTTATATAAAAGTTTAACTGAAGCTTACGCAGCGTTTTCTACGCGCAGGCTGAACTCGAGCTGAACGACGCGCTGTCTGAGCGCAACGAGCTGCACGCTCACGCCGCTGCTCTCGAGCGCTCACGCAATGCGCTCGAGGACGAGCTGAGCGCCGCGAGCGCTGCGCTCACTGAGCGCGACAAGACGCTCACTGCGCTCACAGGCGAGAAGGAGGCGCTCAGCAGGCGACTTGCAGAGCTCGAGGTGAGCAAGCTTTTCATTTTCATTATTACAATGTATGCGTTTTATTATTTGCCTGGCTCTCTTGTTTTGTGTTGTAGCTTTCCCCGTACCTTTCCGCCGTATCCCCCGTATCTCTCCCGCATCCCCCGTATCTCTCTCCCGCATCCCCCGTATCTCTCTCCCGTANAGAAGCAGCTGCGCGCTGACTTATTCCTCTGCTTCTCAGCGCCGGCCATGAGAAGCAGCTGCGCGCTGACTTATTCCTCTGCTTCTCAGCGCCGGCCATGAGAAGCAGCTGCGCGCTGACTTATTCCTCTGCTTCTCAGCGCCGGCCATGAGAAGCAGCTGCGCGCTGACTTATTCCTCTGCTTCTCAGCGCCGGCCATGAGAAGCAGCTGCGCGCTGACTTATTCCTCTGCTTCTCAGCGCCGGCCATGAGAAGCAGCTGCGCGCTGACTTATTCCTCTGCTTCTCAGCGCCGGCCATGAGAAGCAGCTGCGCGCTGAGAAGGACGCGCTGGAGCGGCGCGTGCGGGAGGCGCAGGCGCGTCAGGAGGACCAGCGGCGCGAGCACGAAGGACAGCTGCTGTCTCTTATACACATCTTCTACCGCCTGACACGAGTAACCGGAGCAATATTGTCACGCGCCTACTTCCCAAAAAGGATACGTTCTAGTGAGCGCAAAATGACTTGCACTGATGGTTGCCGCCACGTACGACAACTATAAAATGTTCTCTGTTGCGTACAAACTTACACAGGTTGTTACACTCAATAGTTAACGTATAATTTAAGTTGAAAATTATGCTCCCGGAGAGTAGAGGGTTAAGCCCAATCTTTTTGTAAATCTTCTTCTAAAATCAAAATATTTTGTATTCAATCATCTCTGAATATTTCTACTAGCTACAGAATTTCCTTTCGCTCGAACCAACTGATAAAATCCTGACATCTTCTCCTTAAAAATTAAAATCTGTGCACATTCGGAAGGCAATTACTGGGTCATCAATATTTAGCGTTACAATTTTTTTCAAAATCAGTACACTCGCAAAACAGTCAAATGTGTCGTATGGAACCATGTCGACTGTTCTTCGGAATTAAGGACCTAAAGTTGTCCCCATTCAAGCATGTCAAAAAACTCCAACTGTCTGCTCAAGTTGTTGACAAACGCCTCCAAAGATCCAAGATTCTTCTTTCCCGCATTCTACATAAATACATTTTCAAACATTCACAATTGTGTTTCATTTCATAGTTCTAACCACTCAAAGTTGTAACGCTAAATATTGATGACCCTGTATTCTTTCCTGATCGCATGCTGGGAGATGGCAGGGCTGTGATGTTCACTAATATTGCAGCAGCGGGTTGGGGGATTGAGACACACAACTAGCTGTGAAATAATCCTCGTCTAACTCGGCAAGGTGCCCGGGTGGTTAAAAATCTCCTACATGGCCCAATCAAAGTTGACACGTTTATATATTAATATTAAGTGTTGTACATTATAGCTTATTATTTTATGTCTAATTTAGGTTAATTAAATTGTTTATAATGATTATTTGGTTCAGCTGAACAAGCTGCAGCGCGAGCTGGACGGTGAGCTGAACCGCGTGCGCGAGGCGAAGTCGCTGCTGGAGCGCCAGCTGGACGAGCACAACACTGAGCACAAGAAGAGCATGACTGCGCTCAAGGAGGAGTATGAGCACAAGAACGAGGCGCTCAGGCGGGAGAAGGTAGGAGTATGAGCACAAGAATGAGGTGCTCAGGCGGGAGAAGGTAGGAGTATGAGCACAAGAATGAGGTGCTCAGGCGGGAGAAGGTAGGAGTATGAGCACAAGAATGAGGCGCTCAGGCGGGAGAAGGTAGGAGTACGAGGAGGGAGAAGGTAGGAGTATGAGCAGAAGAATGAATGAGAGTTGTGTGAGGAAAAGTGCGAAGTTATGAAGCAGAAATGAACTCATTATAACGCTCTGGAAGATATGATTTAATGCTTCTATTTGTACATAATTACTATGCCACTTATTGAATGATAGTCCACGGGCATTGCGTGTAATATTGTACATATGAACAATAAATTTTATATGTATATTATATTAAAAACAGATTTTATTTTTGTATTATATCAACAATAGATTGTATTTTTTTAGACTTCTTATATTATCAAATCGCCTTCTGAGTTCTGTATAGTTTCCATAACCAACAGGTGAAAAATAATTTTTTGTGAAATATTTTTTCATATAAAGGTTTTAAATAAATTTTTTACCGATGTGTATATTTAAATCAAGTATTTTCCTGTGTGCAGCTGTCCTGGGTAATTACAATCTACTCTTTGTCTGCATCTCTTTAGTGTTTAATAATTTTGATGGTTTTTTAACCTAAAATAAAAATTATTGATTATATTATGAATAAATATATATTTGCAATAACTGATAATTCAGGTTGATAAATTACCTCATATCTGTTGGATAAACTTTGAATAAATGCGCTTGAAGTAATTTTTTATTAAATTGTACTATTCAACAAATCTAATGTTGCATTACTAAAAAATTTTTCTTTGGTTATTCGTTGTATGAAAATTGAGTTTCTGCATTTAAAATTCAAAATTTTTATTCACTTAACTTAGCATCTATTTTCTCGTTATCGAATTCTTGTAGATAAATTCTCTTTCTGCTATATATATTTCGTTAAACTTTATTGATTATATAACAACAACAACTATTTTGCATTAAGGTTAAATGTTAATTCATACATGTTTTATTAGGTTTTACTGTTCATACCGGCCTTTTGATAACTGCCATGCAGTATTTACATGAATACGTGAACTACATTCAGGCCTTCATGATAGCATTAAACCCTAAAGTTTTTCAGCATGCAATAAACGATGTACTTTCTATAATGTATATATTTTTAGTGATTGTAGCTTTAGCATGGAAAATATCATTACTAGTTCTCTATAAGCTTAGTAATGCATCAATTTTTTTTATTTTCGATTATGAGATTTTTGGTCTCGCGTCATATAAGGTGTCAATTAATGGCGTGTCCAAGTAAGGTGTCATTTCTTTCTCTCTTAGAGCTTCCAAACCCAATTAAAAAACTCATATTATATTCTCTTTATTTTCAAGTCAAAAGTAAATGTTTCTAATCTACGAGCTGCATGTTTAGCCTTCATTGAACTACGTTCACTGACCATGCTAACATTAAGCTGGCTGAACATTATGTGATTCTGATGTTCACTTTAATCAATATAAAGTTTATAGCATAAGTGTCAACACAAAGCCATGAGTTCAACTATCATACACATTTGCAGCCCAACCTACCATATAAATTATTCACTATTCAACCATTATGCGAGTACCATCACTGTAGCCCATCTAACTTGACCATTTCAAATTACCATTAGAAGTACATAGTAATTTTTCTATCACATATGGCAGTATCTATTTTTTAACCCGCTCTCTCACCTTCGTTTCGTTTAATATATTATTTTATAAAAAACTCGGAGTGAAACGACCCATTCAACAACGTTTTATGTCATTCATTCTTCCAATTAATTTTTTTGTCACTTTCCGTCTTGCAATATCAATTCATAAGCATTTTCAGCGCTGCAGATGTGGCCTGTGACCATTTGATCATTCAAACACACTCGCACCACCCCTCACCACCCCTCTCCACCCTCGCTGCAGAGCGACAGGGAGGACGCGGCCGCCCGGAAGGACGCTGAGGTGGCCAACCTCAAGCGGCAGGTGGACAAACTCTGCAGGGAGAAGGACGACCTCGCCCTCCGCTTCCAGGAGGACAAGCGGCAGGCGCTCATGATCGGTGAGAAGGACAAGCTGAACTCATAGGAATAAGTGGGATTATTTCCAAATAATGATGCATTATTTGCTTTTGGGTGGGTCATTGTGACCAAGTTTGACGCGGCAAAATGGTAATACGTGCACAAAATGTGTATTTTTTGGGAAATATGACCCATTTGTTTTTCTGGGTGTGGTGTGGGGTTGTGGCCCACTTTTTGTATTGGACTTACTTAATTTTTTTTTATTTTAAATGAAATGTTTGTTAATGGAAATGAGTTTGATGTAGACTAACGCTGTTGTTGGCCAGAGGTCTTTGTATTTAAGTCATGGTGCCATATAGCTGCGCTGCATGGATCTGAACTTGTGGCATCGTAAGGCCAACGGGTACAGCACAATGTAGCACCACCGCAGCACTCTGACGCAGTACAAGTGCAGGTGGTAAATGGTTTAACTTTAAAATTACATTGAAATCAGCCCCCTGCAGCAGAAGGCATGCCCTCTGGAGGAGAAGGTGCAGGAGTTTATGAGTGTCACAGTCCCAACTAACGCAGCCCACAGCCCAGCAGGAGGTGACGTGTCTGGAGGAGAAGGTGCAGGAGTTTATGAGTGTCACAGTCCCAACTAACGCAGCCCACAGCCCAGCAGGAGGTGACGTGTCTGGAGGAGAAGGTGCAGGAGTTTATGAGTGTCACAGTCCCAACTAACGCAGCCCACAGCCCAGCAGGAGGTGACGTGTCTGGAGGAGAAGGTGCAGGAGTTTATGAGTGTCACAGTCCCAACTAACGCAGCCCACAGCCCAGCAGGAGGTGACGTGTCTGGAGGAGAAGGTGCAGGAGTTTATGAGTGTCACAGTCCCAACTAACGCAGCCCACAGCCCAGCAGGAGGTGACGTGTCTGGAGGAGAAGGTGCAGGAGTTTATGAGTGTCACAGTCCCAACTAACGCAGCCCACAGCCCAGCAGGAGGTGACGTGTCTGGAGGAGAAGGTGCAGGAGTTTATGAGTGTCACAGTCCCAACTAACGCAGCCCACAGCCCAGCAGGAGGTGACGTGTCTGGAGGAGAAGGTGCAGGAGTTTATGAGTGTCACAGTCCCAACTAACGCAGCCCACAGCCCAGCAGGAGGTGACGTGTCTGGAGGAGAAGGTGCAGGAGTTTATGAGTGTCACAGTCCCAACTAACGCAGCCCACAGCCCAGCAGGAGGTGACGTGTCTGGAGGAGAAGGTGCAGGAGCTACAGCGCGACCTGGCGTCGTACGAAGCACAAGTCGAGCAGCTTCGTCGCTCCGGCAGCAGCAAGGCTGAAGCTGGCAAGGCGTCTGAAGCCACGCTTCACAGCACCATCGCTAAGCTGCGGGAGGACCTCCATGCTGTCAGGTCAGTACCATCGCTAAGCTGCGTGAGGACCTCCATGCTGTCAGGTCAGTACCATCGCTAAGCTGCGGGAGGACCTCCATGCTGTCAGGTCAGCACCATCGCTAAGCTGCGGGAGGACCTCCATGCTGTCAGGTCAGTACCATCGCGAAGCTGCCGAGGGATGTTGTGTTTGTTATTGCTCGTGACGCCGGTACTCACGCACGCACATGGGACGGCTTTACTTGCGGAGGGTAGCCGGATGGCGAGGGAGATGAGCAGGGTAATGGAAGGAGGTCAAAGAAGCCGTGGCCTCCATAGGGCAGATCAGAGAAGGCGGTGAGAAGGATGGAGGCGAAAAGATGCAGGATAAACAGGAGGAGGCCTCTGCACTCAGAGCAGCCGGTGTTTGGTAAACCTTTAAACATAAACGCTTAGGACATCCGACTGCTGCAGTGGCCCGATCGTAACCGAGCAGACCCTGAGTGTTCATTGCTGTTCGGATGTGGTGAAGACCTTGTTATTCACGGCGGTCCCCGCTGTGAGGAAGGAAATCTCCCTGAATGGAGTTCCGCCTTCTTCCCAAACGTGTGGGTTGGTGTGATGTCATTCTCTAGGAGAGGGCATACAAGGTGACCAAATCGGGGCAGACGAACAGCTTTCCTCGTGGTGATCTGGAACGAGCGAAGAGAAAGGCCGACTAGCCTGTCAAGTGCTTGATGACAGGCTCCAGCCGACGAGCCTGTCAATCGCACGAGCTTGTCAAGCACTTGACAGGCTCTAGCCGACGAGCCTGTCAAGAACTTGCACTGCCAAGTTGATCACATGGACGAACGAATGTGAAGGTAGTTTTCCCCCTTTGAGGTGGTCGGTAGGAACCATCTTTAGGTCTTCGGAGGCAATTCCCCACGCCGGGGTATGGATGGTTGTTTGTGATGGCGAGGCGAGAAGAGATAAAGTTCCATATGGGCGATGAATAACTCAGTATCGGGCGAGTGATGTTCTTCTCTGAGTAACCCTGGTTGTCACCAGCCAGGGCTTTTTTCAAGTCAGTGGCCTTGACTTAGGCCAATGACGTTGTTTGGGTCACCCTGACTCAGTTTTTCCCGACAAAACGTATCCGTGCTACATGCAGGAAGTGAGTCACTCGTCGGCCAATATGACGCGTTTATTTAATTATTATTGTTTTTTAATATTCTCACCAAATTTGTCATCTTCCTTGTAGAGTCTGGCACCTTAGAGCTGCAGATTAGGTCCTCTTGGGCGAGCTTATGAGGTCCATGAAAATTAATGTTTCAAGATGCGGTGTAGTATACTTGATAAGTGAACAATATAGAATGCATTCAATTTCACGGTGTATTGACTTTTAAGACATAAATTTTATGATTCTTTGCCGTTGTTCAGTGTAGTGCGTTTCGTGTTTTCAATGTAAAAAATATTTACTTTTAAACGATTTGGTTCTCGCGATATTTTGTCTCAGCAATTTATGCTGCTTTCAACGGCGCTCGGTATTTGCTGCTTGGAGCTGCGCGCTGACTTATTCCTCTGCTTCTCAGCGCCGGCCATGAGAAGCAGCTGCGCGCTGACTTATTCCTCTGCTTCTCAGCGCCGGCCATGAGAAGCAGCTGCGCGCTGACTTATTCCTCTGCTTCTCAGCGCCGGCCATGAGAAGCAGCTGCGCGCTGAGAAGGACGCGCTGGAGCGGCGCGTGCGGGAGGCGCAGGCGCGTCAGGAGGACCAGCGGCGCGAGCACGAAGGACAGCTGCTGGCCATCAAGACGGACCTCCGCGCGGCCAGGGAGGACGCCGCCAGACTCCAGCACGACCTCCAGGAGGCCGAGGACAAGATCAAGGAGGGTAGGTGGCAGGGGAGGGGTGGGGGTAGCTTGGGGAGAAGGGAAGGGTAGAGGGTAGGTAAGAGGAAGGGAGGGAGGGGGTAGCTGGGGGAAGGGAAGAAGGGGGAGAGGGTAGCTGGGGGGAAGGGAAGGTTGAAAGGAAAGGGGGGAGGTGGAGAGGGTAGTTGGGGGAAGGGAAGGAATGAGGGTAGCTGGAGGGAAGGGAGGAAGGGGAAGAGGGTAGCTGGGGGGACTAAAGGGAGAAGGGATGGGGGAGAGGGTAGCTGAGGGGAAGGGAAGGTAAAAGAGTAGGAGTAAAAACTTGAATTTTCTCTTCTCACTAAAGAAAGCAAATTACTTGCGCGGTTCTGGTTTCGCGATCTTCAGAAGGGAAGGAGTTCTGATATGCGGAATATATTTCCAGGGTTTAACTCTGCTTCACGAGTTGTATTGCATTTTTTTACTGTTATTTTTGAGATCGTATTTTGACTGTTATTTTGTGTCATATACTGGAGAATTCCTGAGGGTATCAGGGTAGCTGGAGACTTTAATCGTGACTGTAACAGGATAGTAATGCGACCCATTTAAAATAATATAATTACTGAATGAGAACACAGTGTGGTGTAAGTAAGTCGGTCTAAGTATTAAGTACGACGTGAGCTAGTGAACGGCGGAGTAGAGGAATGCCAGCGAAGTTTAACTAAGCCAGAGGTCTACTTACAACTATTATTATATTATTTATCTATAGACTACAACTAGTTAAATCTATTAATCTTATGTGTGATGTGACCTCAAAGTTCGTTTGAACCAGACGCCACCATAAATGCTTCGTAGAATAAATAATGTGGGCTGTTTCCACTTTGGCAGCGCTTGGTCGTCGTTCAAGGTGGTGCTTGCAGCATAGCCTTGGGTTGGTGTCCCTAAACGAACTTTTTACTTAAAATGATCTTATGTCTAGTGTCTTGAGGCTGGGTGACCAAATGGAGCATAAGTAACTCCATGCGTTCCAGTGGAGTCCCAAATGGAGCATGAGAACTCCATTTGTTTCAGTGGAGTCCCAAATGGAGCATAAGTCCCAAATGGAGCGTAAGGAACTGCATGTGTTTCAGTGGAGTCCCAAATGGAGCATAAGTCCCAAATGGAGCATAAGTCCCAAATGGTGCAAAAGTCCCAAATGAAGCATAAGTCCCAAATGAAGCACAAGTCCCAAATAGAGAATAAGTCCCAAATGAAGCAGAAGTCCCAAATGAAGCACAAGTCCCAAATAGAGAATAAGTCCCAAATGGAGCATAAGTCCCAAATGGAGCATAAGTCCCAAATGAAGCATAAGTTCCAAATGGAGCATAAGTAACTCCATGTGTTTCAGTGGAGTCCCAAATGGAGCATAAGGAACTCCATGTGTTTCAGTGGAGTCCGGGAAGCTGCTGCTGCAGCAGGAGGTGTCCCGCCTGATGGAGGACACTCGGGCCGCGGAGGAGAGGAGGACGGTGGACTTCCAAGCGGCCGTCAAGGGACTTGACCACGAGAAGAAAGACTTGCAGAAGAAACTCCATGATCGCGAAACTAAAATTTCAAGTTAGCAAAAATAATACGGATAGTTATACATTTTCTTCTAGGCCGCATGTTATTTTACGTCGAAGAATTTTTAATTACAAGATAGAATATTAACTTTATACATGTCTTATTGACAAAATGCCCGAAGAATCGCTCGAAGTTCGAATTTAACTTTTTTTAATAGTGACGTCAAACTAAACTTGAATTAACCATTATGCTATATCACTATTCTAATCACACATTAATAATTTGTTGTCTGTATTGTCTGGTGCAGACATGGAGCTGAATGAGAGCAAAAACGCTGACCTAATAGCCCGTCTCACGAGTCAGCTCCGTGAGCTGAACCTGCTCAAGCAAGAGGCTCAGCGAGCCGCTGCTGACGCTGCTAATAGACTCAAGGTAAATAGAAATAAGTTTATATGCTAGAAATAAAATTACCCTCGAAAAATTACCCTCGAAAAAAGTACCCCCTAAAAACTACCCTCGAAAAATTATTCCCGAAAAAATTACCCTCGAAAAAATTTTGTTGCAGAAACCCTAAAGAGAAATTTCACCAAATCTTTCATTTCTCTCCCTTGAAAATTATTTTGGTTAGAAATGTAATAATGAACGACAGTAAATCGTCGTTCCCAGTATCTTAAATTAATCACAATTCGTAGAATTTTATACGCCTCAGCTTCATATAATTACTTCTGTTGTATTAGCTAAGATGTACAGCTCTACACGCGTTAAATAGCCTTGTCATGATCTCGACGGTTGGATCTTATCACCTTAAGTAAGGTATGACACAACCGGTGGGTTGTACGGTATTTTTTCTGGATAAATCTACTACTTAGTCGAGTAATTGGCCGCTCCAGTTTGGTGCTGGCGACATTAATGAGGCCTGACATGCAGGCCGCTGAGGCGGACGGTGTGGCGAAGGCTCAGGAGGCCGAGGCGCTGAGGCTCAGGATCGCCACAGAGGACGAGCGCCACAAGGCGGCCAGGCACGAGGCAGCCCGCCTCAAGTCAAAGGTGGGTCAAGGACCACATGGGTCATAAACTTGGTGATACTAGGTCAGGATGACCCACGAAAGGGTGAAGAGGGCATCGATATTTGGACAAATGCCACTTATTTCTCTGAAGTACAGTTACCGTGTCTCCATGTTTTACCAGCCTGTACCTGACGCGAATCTTGCGTCGTTTATGTTGAAAATTTTCACACAATTAACGTGAAAGATAAGATAACATTCATAAGATAACGTTCACAAAAGGAATGTGCTTGGCACATATATAACGTTATATAAATATTTAACGTTATGTATATAATATAAAAATATATAACGTTATATGTATAATATATAAATATATAACGTTATATTTGCTCTCCAAACATAACGTGCAAAGCTTTTTTTCAGGTCGCGGAGTATGAACGCGAACGCGAAGGGCTGAACGCGGAGATCGCGTTGGTGGAGCGACGTCTGGCGGAGCTTGAAGACCATCACAACGCGAGGGAAGCTCACCTGCAGACCAGGTAAATCCCTTGCCGACCAGGTAAATCCCCTAAATGCCTTGCAGACAAGGTAAATGCTTTGCAGACAAGGTAAATCCCTTGCAGACAAGGTAAATCCCTTGCAGACAAGGGAAATTCCTTTGCAGGCAAGGTAAATCCCTTGCAGACAAGGTAAATCCCTTGCAGACAAGGTAAATGCCTTGCAGACAAGGTAAATCCCTTGCAGACAAGGTAAATCCCTTGCAGACAAGGTAAATGCCTTGCAGACAAGGTAAATCGCCTGCAGACAAGGTAAATCCCTTGCAGACAAGGTAAATCCCCTGCAGACAAGGTAAATCCCCTGCAGACAAGGTAAATGCCTTGCAGACAAGGTAAATCCCCTGCAGACAAGGTAAATCCCCTGCAGACAAGGTAAATGCCTTGCAGACAAGGTAAAT